TACTAAGTTTATCCAATAAACTTTTAGTACATATGTAACGTAAAATTCTAGACCGTTCTAGTAAGTTCACCAGATATTATATAGTATCTAAATAGGAAATGTGTTAGAAAATGAATAGGGAAAGTAAAGATAATTAATTTGATTACTTGTACATTCCAAATTTATCCACGAAACTTTTAACACTCATGTAAGATTCTAGGTCGTGCTGCAGCACAGGTTGATGGGCAACTTGCCTGAATAGAAGTTTTATGTACCATTAGTCCAATATCTATGTCCATTATTCAGTACATTGGTCTCTGAAAAATTCACACAAGGTGCATACACATACGCCATATAACTAAATGTGGAGACTACAGACCATCATATAGTTTGTATGGTGCTGCTGAAATCATGCAAATCTTGTAATTTGACTTCATGAATTGGCCTCAGGATGACTGTTGGGCAGATTCTGTTTGTGAGTGCCTGATATGCCTGCTGCATTGTTGGCCTGGCTTTTGGGCAGATTTGCAGACAAGCAAAGGCCACCAGCATTAGCAGGATGATGTCTTTCTCCTCGGCGCTCGTTGGTACTATGATGCGATGGTCCAATATATCCTTGAGCTTAGTACACTGCTCTGTTCGTGTCATGTGTGGGCGCACGTACGCCAGGCGCAGGCGAGCCCGCGACGTGCGCCGGGAGGCCGAGCGCGCAGCCAGGATGCAGGAAGGGAAGGCGAGTGGCTAGGAGGAAAGTTAGCCACCTGATTAGTTGTCTCCTTTGTTAGTTATTTCATTGTTAAGATTAGTCCTACAATTAAGGAGAGCCTTCTCCTTCTGTTTGGCCGAGAGCCATATATGCTTGTACGGGAAACCAACTGAAGGGAAAAAGAAGTTATCTCTAATCTACCCCTCTTCTCTATAAGCTAACGGCTGAGGGGTATAACCTCGCCGGCGTGACGGACGGCGGCTACGAGCTACGTAGCCGAGGTCCGGCCAGTCAGGGGTTCGAGGCCCTTGACAACCTGGTATCACGGTCTCGTCGATCCTCGCCCACCCGCTCCACCCACTCTTCCACCGCAGCCCACCAGCCGCCGCCGCCACCATCGCCGGCCCCCCCTACCGCAGCCATGGCCGAGCCCACCCTTGCCGACGTCCTCGCCGAACTGAGGTCCCTCAGCACGGAGGTGTCGTCTCTGAAGTCCGATATGGCGGCCATGAAGGACAAGTCCTCGTCGTCCTCAGACAACGGAGGGGGCCGTCGCCCCGACGGGCAGCGCGACCAAGATCCGTTCATCAAGCACAAAAAGTGGGACTTCCCCTGCTTTGATGACACCGTCGATCCGATGTTGTTCATCAACAAATGCGAGTCGTACTTCCGCCACCACCGCACCATGGGAGAGGAACGTGTTCAGATGGCATCTTACCATCTGGACGACGTCGCGCAGCTGTGGTACAACCAGCTCGAAGAAGATGATGGCGCCCCGTCCTGGGGCCGATTCAAAGACCTCCTAAACGAGAGGTTCGGGCCTCCTCTCCGCTCCGCCCCGATGTTCGAGCTTTCCGAGTGCCGGCGCACCGGAACAGAGGATGGAGTACTCCAACCGCTTCTAGGCACTCCTCGCCGTGCCTCGGCTGGTGCAACTCTTCACCGGCGGCCTCCTTCCGCCTCTGAGTCACGCGGTGCGCATCCACAATCCTGACACGCTCGCCGCCGCGATGAGCCTGGCGCGTCAAGTGGAGCTCATGGAGATTGACAGGCCACCTTAGGCCCCGGTCCGGCCTGGCGTGTGCGGTCTGCTGCCGCCGCCGCCGCCTCGCCAAGCTCTTCCCAGCCGCCTTGCCGGAATGGCAATTCCGCACCACCGGCGTGAGTGCTTGACCAGATTCCATAAGGGCAACCAGGCGCGCCTCTCCTGGCGGCGCGGAGCAGGCGGAACGTCGCCGCCTTGGCCTCTGTTTTAACTGTGATGAAAAGTACTCTCGTGGCCATAACAGGTTTTGTAAGCGGATTTTCTTCATGGACGGTGTGGAGATTGATGACACCGAAGACGCCACGAGCCCGGGGACAAGGACGCTTCGCTTCGGCTTGCAGCGGTGGTGGCGGTGTGTCCATGACGGACACCATGCAGCTCAGCGGTGACATTCGCCGCCCTCCTCGACTCCGGCAGCACCCACAATTTCATCTCCGAGGAGGCCGTGTGGCGCTCGGAACTTCCTCTCCGCCAACGTCCCCGCCTCACGGCCATGGTCACCAATGGCGACAAGATCACCTCTCATCCGCGACGCTTGCCACGCTTTCATCGCCGGTCTTTCCGTTCGGCGGATCTCTTCGTCATGCCCCTCGCCGGTATTCCTCGGCACAAGTGGCTCGGCGCGCGTTGGGGCCCATTATCAGGACCACCAACCGGCGCATCTCTTTCTAGCATGGGGCGCACCATATCCTCTGGCTCACCACGGCGGTGGGGCGGCGGCCGCGCGCCTTGTCCATTGGCGAGCCGCTCTCGAGGCCCTCCTCGACGCGTTGCGGTGGGTCTTCGCCACTCTCATCCCCCAAAGCGCGCCCTTGATCACCGCATCCTACTGAAGCCCGATGCACAGCCGGTAGCCGTACGCCCCTATCGGTACCCGGCTGCCCACAAGGATGAGTTGGAGCGGCAATGTGCCGCCATGATTGAACAAGGGATCGTCCACCGCGGCGACTCCTGTTCTCGCTCGTCGATCCTCCTTGTGAAGAAGGCCGACGGTTCTGGCTCGTCGATTACACTTGAAACGCCGTGGACGGTCAAAGACGCTTCCCAATCCCGGTGGTGGATGAGCTGCTTTGGATGAACTCAACGACGCCAAATTCTTCTCTAAGCTCGACTGCGGTTACCCACCAGTCCGCATGCGGCCGAGGACATCCACAAGACGGCGTTCCGCCGCGCGCATGACTGCTCACGAGTTCCTGGTCATGGCGTTCGGACTCGCAAACGCACCGCCACGTTCCAAGCCTTGATGAATGACATTCTACGGCCGTTCCTCCGTCGCTTCGTCCTCGTATTTTTTGACGATATCTTGATTTACAGCAGGACATGGGTGGATCACCTGCGGCACCTGCGTGCTGTCCTCGATGAGCTCAGCCGCCACCAGCTCTTCATCATCAAGCGCACCAAATGCTCCTTCGGTGCCTCCGCCGTCGCCTACCTCGACCACGTTATCTCCGCTGCGGCGTCGCCATGGATCCGCCAAGGTGCGAGCCATCCATGATTGGCGGCGCGCTCCTCCGCCCGTTTGTTAAGTGGCTTCCTCGGACTCGCGGGTACTACCGCAAGTTCGTGCATAACTATGGCACGGTGGCCGTGCTCACGGCGTTGTTTTAAGAAGGACGGCCGCGTGGGATTCGACGATGTAAAGCGGCGGTCATGTCGGCCCCGTCCTCGCCATGCCCGACTTCGCCAAGCTGTTAAATCGTCGTGTGTGACGCGTCCACAGTCGGCTTTGGCGGTACTAGTCCATACCCGGTGGCGATACTAGTATCATACCTGGCAAGCGCCACGAAGCGAAAAGCTCATTGGCCTGGTTCAGACGGTCCAGCATTGGAGGCCCTACCTGTGGGGGCGCCGCTTCCTTGTCAAGATGGACCACTACAGCTTGAAATACCTCCTCGATAACGCCTCCCCGCGATTCCGCGGCACCACCGGGTCGGCAAGCTTTTGGGCTTCGACTTCAATGGAGTACCGCTCCGGGCCCCGAACATGCCGACGCCCTATCCCGCCGCGAAACGATGCGAATTTCAGCGCCGCCGGTTCGATTCATCGAAGGCCTCGCCATAAACCCGATAATTCCGTGCGGGCACCAGCATGATGGCATGGTCGCCTTGTACATCCCGCCCGTCGCCCACTCCTTCAGAGAGATCCCGACCACGGTCCACGACGAGGAGGCCATGAAGGCGTTCATCGCCGCATGCATTGCACCGCCTTTGATTTTCATTTCCCCAACATGCGTCGTTTGGTGCAGGATTTTGTGAAGGCATGCGCCAAGTGCCAGAAGCACAAGACGGACCACCGAGGCCGGGCATTGGGCTGCCTGAATAGAAGTTTTATCCTGTACCATTCGATTTCATTGTCCAAAGACGGTATCCTCTCCGTCGTCGATGTCCACTTATTCAGTACATTGCCCATGCGTTCTTGAAAATTCCGCGATCGTCACACACCCGGTGTTCACGCCGGCGCGTTACGGACCGAGCTCATCACACCAAGCTCTTCATGTCGCCACCCACAAACGGATGGCGAGCGAGGCCGCCAACGGTGATGATTGTCATGTACCTCCGCTTCACCAAACGGCCGCCCTCCTCGGCAGTGGCTTCACTGGCTCCGTGGGCGAATACACATAAACACGGCCTTCCAATCGTCGCTCCGGAGACGCCGTTCGCGTGGTATGAGCTAGACGCAGCGCGGTCGCTGCTTGCCCGAAATGGAGGACCGCACGCCTTCCTCGGTGCTGCCCAGGCGGTCGTAAGCGAGTCTGAAACCATCGTCCGATGCAAATCTTGTAATTTGACTTCATCAATTGGCCTCTTCCAGGATGACTGTTGGGCAGATTCTGTTTGTGAGTGCCTGATATGCCTGCTGCATTGTTGGCCTGGCTTTTCAGCTCGAAGCAGATTTGCAGACAAGCAAAGGCCACCAGCATGAGGAGGAAAGTTAGCCACCTGATGATTAGTCTTTCATTGTTAAGATTAGTCGGCGCTCTCCTTGGTTTGGCTATGCCATATATGCTCCCAATATATCCTTCTTCTCTAAGCCGACGGAGCTTAGTACACTGCTCTGTTCGGTCCGGCCAGAAGAATGTTCGAAGAATAAGTAGCAGATCTCCTGGGTGCTTACCCATGACTACTTCCATGGTGAGCACACCAAAGCTATAAACATCGCACTTCTCTGTAAATACCATTGTGGATGACAGTTTTGTGAAAAGAAATATAGCATTATAATCAGAATATAACTAACCTGCAAAATCAAATGGATTTTTATGATAATAAAGGATCAAAGTAATGTACCTGGGGCTATATAACCACATGTCCCTACAAAGATGGTGCTCCAACTTGAGGAACTATGCTTCAACGTCTGAGCCATGCCGAAGTCTGAGACACAAGCCTTAAAATCACGGTCTAACAAGATATTGCTACTTTTGATGTCACGATGTATAATGGGTGTATCATAGTCATGGTGCAAGTAGGAGAGAGCTTGAGCTACGTCTCTAACAATGGCAACTCTTTTTGACCAATCGAGCTCCTTGGCAAGCTGTTCCTCCTGCAAATTGGATGCTAAACTTCCCCTTTCGATGAGATCGTACACAAGAAATTTGCACTTGGAATGAGAACAGTATCCATACAACTTGACTATGCATCGGTGCCTTACTTTTGTCAACACTTGGATCTCAGCATGAAATGCTTTCTCATCAGTATAATCTTCAACTGTGTGGAGCAGTTTGATAGCATAGATTCTCCCTCCTTCAAGCTCAGCTCTGAAGACAGACCCGTATCCTTTAGTACCAATGCAGTATTTATCATCAAAACATTCTGTTGCATTGAGTATGTCTTGGAATGCAATTTTCCCATCAAAATTCCAGATGGAGACCATATCATGAGATTTACTTTTGTCGCTGACCTTTGAAGATTTTCTCCTATAATAAACAACTGTCATGCATCCTATTGCGGTACAGATGAAGCAAAAGCAAGCAAAAGTAAGAAGTATTGCCATTTTATTGGTTTTTCCTTCCTTGAACCTTTTGTTGAACTCTGGGGTGTGACATGGTGTCAAGCCATACTCTGGATCACCACATAGATCCATATTGTGGCCAAGAGAAACTGTGGTATTGACTGAGAAGTTAAAGGTCGCATCAACTCTGCCACTCAAGTTGTTGTACGATAAATCCAGCCACCACAATTGGTGTAGCTTTGGAAGAGTCACTGGGATGGTGCCGTTCAGATTATTTTTGCTCAGATGCAACTCTCTTGACCACAAATAATTTCCGAGTTCTTGTGGTATTGGTCCAGTCAATAATTTGTCCGATGTGACCAAAAATGACAAAAACCGGCATTGCACGATCTGAGGTGGAATACTACCAATAAGCTGATTGCTACCGAAGTCTAAATTCCAGAGATTCTTTAGGAATCCTAATTCTGGTGGCAGCATGCCACTTATTCGATTATTGAAAAGACTCAAACCCTCCAGACTCGCTAAATTTCCTATGGATGCTGGGATAGATCCCGAAAGGTTATTATTGGAAAGATCAAGGTAGGCAAGTTTTGTAAGATTACCTGTGGAGGGAATACATCCATTGAGGAAATTATTGCAGAGGTCCACATCATCGAGCTCAGACAAGTCTGCGAATTGGAGCTGATCCAACCTGCCTTCAAGATAACACCCTCGAAGGGATATGTTCGCCACAACCTGGACAGCATCACTTGTACCATGGCTGAGGCGCCATAGCACTGCAGCTAACGCCATCCCAGTCACAAGGGATGCTGCGATTGCTCCATGTCTGCAGGCAGCCACGGGAGAAGGGGTCGTCCAGACTAGATTTCCATCGGAGGAGCGTGTCTGCTTGGTGATCCAGTTGGCTTGCCGTAGAAATTGCGCAGCAAAGAATGTTTGGCAAGACAAGAAGCACCAGGGTGATCTTAAAGGCAAGGAGACTCATCTTACGCTAGTGAAGCTCTAAATAAACGCCCATCTCTGTGCCCAGTGATCTTTTCTTGGATTATACACACACACACACATGAATAAAGAGAGAGCGCCACCGTCAGTATTGAACAGAACTGTACTGTACCGCTCATGCATTAAAGAGACCTTGACTCAGGTCGATCGGTCTGTGTCTTTCGGTCACATTAAGAAATAATTGTCCCAGACTTGTTGTATGGACCGCAGGGCTAGCGTAGCTGGACCGTTTTGAATCTTTTCGTGCCGGCGACTCAGATAGCCAACAACAAGAGGTGGAGGAGAGAGGAGAGGAGAGGAGAGAGAAGAGAAATGGGATGTAAGTTTACAGAAAAATCGAAAAACTTTGTGAAAGAAACAAGTGAACCATGTATTAATAATAAAGAGCTAACTACTATATTAATAGACTGAGAGAGGGGCTGTAAAGATCCTTACGGCCAGCAGACCAGCTGTAGCCTCGCTCTTACTTAGCTCCTACGGCGTTGAATACAATTCAACACACGGGCCGATTATCGCCCACCACCAACCAAACAGCCCAAGAATCTCGTGACCGTAAAGATCTTAGATAAAAAAAAACTAAAATAGTCAAGTTAAACAGTAAAATTCGAATACCATATTAGTGCGATATAATTGATCCCCGCAGTCAGCGCTGCTTTTTCGCGTCATTTTTCTCATCGGCCATAGGCGATTAATGGTGATTCACGTCGTTGACCCTTCTCCAAGCGGCAGATGACGGATGGACATGGCCACATGGGCCTTGCGACATCCCGTATGTGACGACACGGCAACGAACGGGGCTTCCGGGCAAAACGCTTTGCTCTCCCACGAATCGATTCGACTCTACGGAATGTGTCTAGATCCAGGTACGATGGAAGTGAGGGGCGTAGCATGGGAGGGCAGATCCACTACCTTTGGCCGGGGTGGTAGAACGGCGATATCTTCGTGCCACTGGCTCCGCCTTTGCTTGGATTGTACCGTGGCACGGGCACGTGACCTCTCATGTTATTCTCTCAGAATTTTTGGCTACTCTCACATTATTATTCCAAATTGCTCTAAAGGATACTATGAGCTATACCATTCACTATGCTAGATACCCAACACTATTACACAAACGGTCATCACCAATGGCACTTTCATCGTCGCATTTATTAAAATCAAAAGTGAAAATAATTAACATCGTCGGTTCCTGTTACCAACCGGTGGCATCAACAAATAGACGCCAAACTACTTTCTCAAATTTGTGTGAGCAAAGTGCAATTGTTTGATCTATTTGGTTGAGCAGAAATGATGTGGTCTTTAACAAAATGAGAATATACTCTTATTTATAGGTTATTTTCAAGGCTACATACTGTAGGCGCTTCTGGATTATATGTTACAGGCGACGACTTTGGTTATCTTCGTCAAACAGGGACGCTTAATAGAATTGTTGTTATCTAGTTTGGTAGTTTTGTTTTTTTAAGATGATGCTTTATATAGCTAGAGACTAAATCTATAATAAAATATAGTTGTATGCATAACTCGTGCAGAGACCAAAATGAAATTATTTCAAAGAAGATGTAGCTCTTTTTTTTAATCTAAGAAAATGTAACTCTTGATCATGATCTCTGTCCTGATCTTTGATTGCGAGTTTGCAAATTGAAATGGGCCCGCTCAAGAACGACACTGTTCGGTTAGCCAATTTTGCTTTTGTCACGCAGTCTAATTAGGGCGTGCCTGAATGGGCCCATTTCACCATCCATAAGAAACGTGACGAGGCCTACAGTGGTTTTAAAGTTGGTATGAAGGCCCAAATACTTCCATCCCAACTATTGGGCTGGATGATCATTTCCGTTTGACGGTAGCAAGATGGGGAAGAAAGGGAAGGAGGCGGCGCGGGAGCGGCGCGAGCAGCGCCGCCGCGAGGTCACCCTCCTCCGGGCCCTCCCCTACGAGCCCCACCAGCGATGGTGGGACAGCCTGGCGCCGCGGGCCGTAGCGGTGGTCACGGGCGCCAACCGCGGCATCGGCTTCGAGGCCGCCCGCCAGCTCGCGCTCCATGGCCTCCACGTCGTGCTCGCCTCCCGCGACGCCGCCAAGGGCCAGGACGCGGCCGGGAGGATCCTGGCGGAGGCCCCCGATGACGCTGTCGTCAGCGTGGAGTCCCGCCAGCTCGACGTGGCGGACGCCGCGTCGGTGGAGGCCTTCGCTGCCTGGGCGGTGGAAACCCACGGCGGCATCCATGTCCTTGTGAGCGCATTCTCATTGCCTTACCTGGCTCATGTAGTTGTGTCGTTTATATCCAGTGATTAGTTTCTTTGCTTTCACAATACTACGGAAGATTAATTCAATTAACCAGCAAGACTAGTCCTAGTTTTTTTTCGACAACTACGAACTACCTAGCTGTTATTTCTGGAATTTGTACTCTATATAACCGATTGGTAGAAAAGGAGAAGAGCCAGGTGCAGTGACACCACCTTCAATTCATAAATAGACTGTTATTTACAGAGATCTTTCCTGAAGGCCATATCTTATATGTGTTGTACCCTGGCTACAGGTTAACAATGCAGGTGTAAACTTCAACAAAGGAGCAGATAATTCTGTTGAGTTTGCTGAGCAAGTTATCAAGACAAATTACTATGGCACAAAGCGGATGATTGATGCTATGATACCACTAATGAAACACTATCCATATGGTGCTCGGATAGTGAATGTCAGCTCAAGGCTTGGTAGAGCCAATGGCAGACGGAATGTAAGTTTGTTCAAGACAGGTTCCTATCTTCCCATTGTGATCTATTCTTAATATGCAGTGCGTTCACATTTACTTTACCGTTTGATTCTATTCTGTCAGAGAATTGGTGATGCGAGCCTAAGAGATCAACTGTTGAATGACAATCGTTTATCAGAGCAGCTAATTGATGAGATGATCATGAAATTTCTCGAACAAGTCAAGCAAGGTACTTGGTCCTCCAATGAGTGGCCAAAGATGTACACGGACTATTCGATCTCAAAGCTTGCTGTTAATGTTTATACACGACTCATGGCAAGGAGGCTCTCGGATCGGCCTGAAGGCCAAAAGATATACATTAACTGTTTCTGCCCTGGCTGGGTAAAAACTGCCATGACTGGTTGGGAAGGGAATATTTCTGCCGAAGAAGGTGCTGACACAGGTGTATGGCTTGCCTTATTAGCTCAGGAACGACTCACAAATGGGAAGTTCTTCGCTGAGAGATGTGAGATAAGCTTCTAAGGTGACTACCTTATCCATATTCTTGTTGCCCCCACAAGCAGGAAAAATTAGGACTCAAGATCTTAAATCCAGCGTTACAAACTGCTCTGATTGCTACTTACCATCATCCATCAAGGCGTAGAGATTCACAAAGCATAATGTTTATCCTGAACACACAGGCCATAATATTTTGAGCATTGCTAATTTGCTATGGATAGAAGAAAGTACCAAGTGTGATATGGAGAGTGCTCATTGTTTTGTTAGTGTGTGTTACTTAATTCTGTAAATGGTTTATCTATCGCGATGATTGCTGTTTAGGCTACTGATACTTTATCGTGCCTGTGTGATCTATTTAGGCTATTCATGATTTTGGTGCTTGGGAGCAATCATATGACAGGCTCACAGGCAGATGGTCAAGATCATTAAAGGGGCACCACTATGTCACATTGATGGAAAGCCCATGACCTCAAATTTTGTTAATTAAGGTGATATACGAAATGTTTATTGGCTGTGAATGAAGTATCATAAAAGCGGAATGTTTATCCGGACCACTAGAATGGCAACTTGGGAAGCACGACCAGCTGGCTGCTTCCTACGTGTGCTACAAGCTCTCAGCAATGACCTGTATTGAAGTGCATGTTGCACCATGGGTTGCATTTGCGTTGGGTTCAGGCTACATCACTAGCTGAGTTTTCCTTCTGTCAGTGTTACATGTTTGGTTGGTTTTAGCATAGCAAGGTGAATGTACAAGTGCAGCATGGCTGTACCAAATCATTCAGACTGAAGTGGTTTTTATGAAGCAACAAAGCACGTGCTTATTATTTGGGCTTTGGAGATGGAGACAAATTGGCTGTAAGCATGCCGATGCCAGGGTCAATTCAACAGTCTCGCAACCAAGCTTATCCCCTACAGACAGAAGATGCAAAGAGCCATGCATGAATGTATCCATTGCGCTTTCGGTCATTTAGGGCAAGGCCATGCCGGCCGGATACCAAGGCAGCACGATGCTGCATAGCTGGTCTTCAGTGGGTCATCCTCCCGTGGATACCAAGGCAGCACGATGCTGCATAGCTGGTCTTCCACAGGGAATTCATTGGTGTGATCCCGGCACCAGCTACTCCCTGCACATGCGGTGCTCAGGTCTCTGTCATTCTATGGCTCATAGTTCTTGTCTGCAAGTTGCATCCTCTAATGGGACCACGCCGTGCGCCATGGATTTGTCAGTATACGGATTGGACGATTGGTAGCTGATGTAAGCTGGAGTTGCCAACGGCAAACCTATTGATTGATTGACTGATCTACTAATAAGCATGTCTTCCTTTTTTTTATTGTGCAAAGGAAAGGAGGACCACCTGGATACAGGATACCTAGGCTCCTGATCCTGCATTTGGCGTGTCGTTTTCGTGCAAGCGGTTGTGATATCAACCGGCTAACGATCGACGATGCATCATCAGTAGTGGTTGCAGTTGCATTGCGTCTTCATCTGGAAAGAGTTGAGATTCCATTCCCATCATCCATCAATCAGGCAGCCATTAAGGGTAGGGCTTTCACTTCACCAGAGTTGAGTACTCCGAAAGGCTTTAAG